AACTTTGAATAGGAGTGAGATTGGATTTCTCTCTGTTGATTCTGAGACTAAGTGAAGGAAAGAGTCCCAGTTACTTGGATGGAATTGTTCATGTGTTGAGGTGATTGTCCCTGAGTTAGTCAGTCATCAAGGTACAGGTAGATATATATCCTTTGTCTCCTTAAGTGAACTGCCAAAACCACTAAACACTTGGTGAACACTCTTGGAACTGTGGAGAGACCTAAGGGAAGCATTCCGTATTCATACAGTTACTTTCCCACCAGGACTTTGAGTTATTTTCTTTGGGCTGGGTGAACTGCCATATGGAAATAGGCATCCTGAAAACTGAAAGCCACAAATCAGTCTTGAGTATCAAATATGGGGATTATGAAAGCTAAGGTCACCATTGTGAACTCGAAACAATGGAAGAATTTGTTGAGATGTCAAAGATCCAGGATGGGGGTGTCAACCACCTTTTCTTCTTTGGAATTAGGAAATAATTAGATTAAACCTCCTGCCCCAGAACTCCACGGGCACTTCTTTCATTGCTCCAAATTACAGAAGGGAATCGCTCTCTCTCCTTCCTTAGCAATATTTTGTGAGAGGTGTCCCTGAATGGAAACAGGGAATGGGTAGGGAAGGGACAGGAACTAGGTAGAATACTCCTTGTCTATAATCTCCAGGATGCATCAACTCCAAGGTTATCCAAATCCATACCCCCGCTCCCCCAAAATCCGCAAAAGGCAGTTGCCAAAAGGGGGGAAGAGGAGGATAGATCCAGCATTTCTAGATGGTTCTCGACGGTGGCATCAGACCTGCTGACACAAAGTCGATGAAAAGTGTGTGGCAGGAAGGTCTCTTTCTCTGGAATCTGTGTCTCTTCCTCAGAAACTCTGATGATCTCTTCTGGCTATAGTAGTGGGAGAAAGGCCTGGAAACTACCCTAGAGAGAGGCAGCTTTCTCCTTGGGGCAGTGTATATAACCCCAGACAGTGCAGAGGCAGCTCCTGAGTCCTTTAAAGTGTGCAGGGCTTCATCAGTACTTGCACTAAAAAGGTCATAGCCTTCACAGGCTCCCTGATGATCATTTGGACCTCTTTTGGTATTACAGAAGACTGCAACTGTGAAGCTCTGCGCATCATGATTGAGATTGCCAAGGAACATGCTGCTATGTCTGAGGTGTGCAGATCAGCTTGCAGGGAAGTATGGGCCACTAGCTATCTCTCAACTACTAAAGACTTCAGCTTCTCTCTGTGCACCTGAAGGAGCTTTTCTACACACTAATACCCTGTCCCAGTTTAGGAAGTTGTATTTATCAAGGTATGCTTGGTAGTTTGATAAGTGCATCTGCAACCTACTAGAGGAATAGGCTTCTTTGCATCCTTGTCCTGTAGTGTCATTTCGGTCCCTCCTACTTAGACCTCTCATGAACTGCCACAACTGCAAATCCCAGGGTCAATTATAGAAACATTCGAACCCCTTCGAGGGAATCTAGCAGAACCTGTCTCCCTATTCTGATGTGGGTAACACTCGGGATGGACTCTGCCACAGGTCTTTAGCTGGCTCATTTATTGGTACTGCTAGTCTCCCAGGAACAGAGGAATGCAGAATCTTTAATAGTTTATGACACTCTTCCTACACTCTCTCTAATGGGATTTCCAGGATTTTGGCCATTCACCATCGTAGAAGACATGGTAGTCAGCTGGTTGGGCTGGAATAGCAGGGGTGACAGCTTCACTGGGTGAAGAGGAGCATATTGCTGCTGGAATGAGCTGATCCTCTGCTTCTTGCAGACATCCTGCTCAATGTCTTGCTCCTGTTGCTGTAAAATGTGTTGCAGAAGTGGACCCTCTGGAGATGACTTATGAGGAAAGAGACTTGTCTCTGAGGCAGGAGCAATGGAAGAAGTCTTCCTGCTGGGCTGCATGCTGCAGGGAGCCCGGAATGGCCATGACTGCAATTTATATGGATATGGGATTGCAGGCCATGGAGGAGGTAACCAGAAAGGATGTTTGTCTCAAGACTCCCAATGCCTTCATTTATAGAAACGTCCCTGGGATTCCCTGACAGATCAACTTGGCTCACAGGGAGGGGAGCGTGACAACAGATAAGTGATATCTCCCTGCTTTGTCAGAAGCAGATGAAGAAAAGGTGTATATTTCTTCCACAAGTGAAGTCACTCTTTCATATGTTCTCGGGAACTCTGAAATATTCTCCACTGGTACCAAGGTTATAGTTGCAGGTAGTACTGAGGGTAGGTGCTTCTTAGCGTTAGAGAGCAACGGTGACACCGGTTGTTGGATTATCATTAAATAACTTGGTACGATAAATCTCTTCGTACTGAAAACGTCAGAGCCAGAAGAATCTCCAGCACATCAGTTGAAGAGTGGTGGGTACGACAGGTTGTGAATGCTGCGGTGCCAATGTGTTGGTACCGGTAGAGGTGCGGACAATGTCCTTAGATGGTTCTGTGGTTGTTCAGTGACCAGCTAAGGTCAAGGCATCAGCAGAACTTGATCTGTGCCTTGAATTGCCTCTTGGTTAAGAAACATGAGTTGGAGCATATACATGATAGGATTTCTGCTTTGATTTACCAAGTCTCAAGAAAGAGACCTGTGTCTGCTGTCACGTTGAGAAAGATGCTCTTTCCTAAGCCTTTCTCCAAAGATTGGGCAGAGGTGAGCTTATATGCTCCTCCTGACTTGGTAGTTGAAGAATGTACCTTCCTTCAGAAAGAGCAAACCTAGTAGCGAGGAGCAGGCCTGCGGTGTACTGGAGCACTTGGGGAGATAGTCTGATCGAGTTTGGTAGTCTTCTTTCCCTCAGGTTCAGAGGAGGACTTACGGAGCTTTCCAAGAGGAATATTTTAAGGTTGGATTCCCTCACTTTTTGTGTCCTCCAAGAAAAAGCACAACATATTGAGCACTGGTCTGGCATATGTGTTGCACCAGAAGTAGTACTTAAGAGTGACCATCATAGATAAGAATAGCTGCCTCACAAGAGGAACAGGATTTAATACTGGAAACTTGGGCTCCATCATCCCAGAGAAGCTCTGACACTTGGAACAATTGAAGGATGGTTAGGCACACTCCACCCTTGATGCCCATGGGTGGAATGGCATGGGGGCATCAGGGGTGCAGGTGCAGCCCACATGGATACTGCTATTCAAAAGAATCCAATCTCATGCACATAGGGTATATGCACACCAGAAGTGGAATACATGTGGCCATTAGTCAAAGAACTGATTTTCCAATATTTTGCTTTAAAATTTATTCTGGGTCTTGGCTCCACACAGACTAATATTTACATAGATTTTTTCCATAGTGGAGTCTCTACTTTCCCTCTTCCAGGTTCAGTAGCTTAGAATATTGTGTTTATATTTATTTGAAAATTTTGAGTCTTAATGATTTCAGATCTTAAACTCATTTAACATTAACAGGGAAATGAAAGGCTTTTTATTTAAAAACCCAAACAAAAAAGGAGATAAAAATACCTTAAAATACTATTAATAAAAATCAGTTTCTCTGCTGTCTTTCACCCTTCATTTCACAAGATCCCACATTTCTTTACATAATGTAAATACAGGAACTGACCTCCCATCACTGAAATGCAGCCATCTCTGGAGTGGAACATGGCTACTGTAGGTGAATGCAGAGTCCTTACAAATTCCTGTAATGCTATGTTTTCACTTTTAGTCTGCCACCCTGTGATTACTCAATGTTACTACACTAATGTGCATGTAATGTGCTTAGTGCTAATAAAAATGAACAAACACATTGCTCAAAGGATCTCCATACTGCATCAATATGGATGTTTCTTTTTTCCTGCAGTCACCTAGCTGCACTAAATTAACACCATGGGCAAGGGGTGAAGAAAAAAAATGTACCCATGAATGTAATATTTTTTGGATTTTCTCAGCCTCTAACACAATCTCAGCAATTTCTTAAAACCTCTCTTTATTATTTGATTTTTGTGTTAGTTATAGCACACTGTCTCCTATAAAATGTACTACTATGATACATTCTGCAACATTTAACCCCTTTTCCCAGTTGTCATTCGTTAGCTTCACAGCTTAATGACAGAGTCAGCAGAGCACAATATGACCCTGTTAAAAAAATTTTAATGCCATTTTTACAAATTACAGCATAATGCACCGATTACCAGGATGAAAGCAAAGTCTCGGCGTATGTCTGGAGACCAAATAAAAGAACGTTTGAACATCTGTTCATCCTACAAATGCCTTTAAATGCTTTGATTTTCCCATAATCATTTTGTTCCACCATTTCACCCTTTTCTGAATGTGTATCCAACAGCCTCAGGACAGCAGCCAGAGATCTGCAGTAATAGCACATTATAATCAAAGTTCCTGGGCACACTTAAGTTTTCCTCTTAGAGTTACAAGGGGGGAAAAAAAACCCAGTTCTCAGCATATACCACCGACTCTTGGTCCTATAAAATACTGTGCTCTGCTAGATGAGCAAAGTGAAAGGACAACACACTCTTCAAAAGGGGTTTATAATACGGAATTATAAAGCACTAGAATACTGTTCAGCCAAAGAGAGGGTTATATTGACTCAGTAAGTATTCCTAATCTGTATGTTTTCAGATGGATCAAGTTCCAGAACAACTGATTGGCCCATTCAGACTGCCCTGAAGAATGCAAAGAGAATGGGTGGAAACAGAAGGAATTCAGAAAGTTAAATAGAAAATGCTATGTAACAATACATACCTTGCACTGATTGGCTGCCTTCCATCCAGAAGTATCAAAAAGTCCTTTACAAACTGTACAGTCAAGAATCACTTACCCATCACCAAAATGCTACCACCTCTGGTGTGGAATGCAGCAGCCAGCAACATTAGTACAGAGCAGTTTAGGATAAAACACAAAGACTATCATGTCCTACTGAAACTATTTTAGGATTGGCAGTTAATAACCCAGTTTGGTATTTGTTGAGGACACCAGAGCCAAAACCTCTGCACTTGTAAACAAACAAACAAAAAAATCCCAAACAAAAACATTCTTAAACATACTACAAATTCTTTAGTAATTGCAAGTGATCAAAATTCCCCAAATTATACCAATAATTCTTAGATTAAGCAGATATAATACACAGGCATTCCCTCTGTGTCATCTATTTAACAGTTTTCTATAACACCCATCACCATAGTATCTAAGTGCTAAACGGGAGTGCAGTATTGAGTAAAGGATGCAATATGGGATTTGATAACTACTTAACAGAAAGAGAATGCAATAAATATTCTGTGAAAGATTGTCTTGGGGGGTGTATATGAGAGAGAAGGGTGGGAGAGAGGACACATTTTCCTTATAGGAGGATACATTTTACAGCAGGGCTGGCAGCACAAGTCATATTAAGCCGTAACTGGAGTTGCCTAATTCCTCATGGATCACACTGAAAGCGAACCCCATCATCTTAAAGGATGTGCTAAAGCTTTGGCTGGGACTCACTCACTCAGCAGAAACTGTTTGGGATTATTCCACAAAGCACTTCCTCTGATCTGATTTAAAGGGACACTGTGTCAAGCTAGTTTAGGCACCAAATTTGCCCTGCCTCAAGAATGTTTAGCGGGAAATGTTCTCTGGATATCAAGTTTTTTGCTCCTTCCAGTTCATCCCTGTCACCAAATAAATAAATCCTACAATATTTTGCTCTGCTGAAAAAAAGCCACACAAGCCAGCAGAAAGTGCACAACCCCTATTCCCATTACTGGATGGCTGATCAATAATGCTTTGGCAAGCAAGAGAGTAAATGATCTATTATGGTTATTTGTTTAGCATTCCATGTGATCTAAAGAAATATGCTGGCTTGGTGCACGTGGCCCCATCTCATTCTCATGGCTGGTCCCAGCAACCACATCACTTACTGACAGCAAATAGTGTTACTCCTTTTGATCAAATGACACGGGTGAATGTTTTGGTGTTGTAAATCCTTCGTTCAATCCCTGCTCAAGAGTGCAGCATCTGAATGTGTACAACCATTGTTAGTATCTGTGTTTGGGTGGCTTACGCTCTACAAGAAACAAATAAGGGACACTGGAGAACTGTTATCCCCAGCTTTTATGAGGTTAGGGCAAGAAATCAGAAGTACCACCTATGAGAGCCTTTCTAAACAGCTAATAGTTTCTAAAGCGCCTTAGAGATCTTCAGTTTAAAAGCCCTTATACTGCAATATGGTATCTTAATTTAATGAAATAAAGCCAGTCACTATTTCCACAGGCAACTTTGTGTTTCATTCTCACAAAACAAGCACTTTGGTTACAAAAATTAAAGTAGTTCCAGCACATATTTTCTTAGCAATTATTCAGAACAGCTTAGCCTTCCAATTTCCTAAAGAATCAACTAAATAGCCAGCAGACTCTCAAAGGCTGTGTGAAATATTGTAGAAAAGCAGTTCTGAACTGCCAGACTAGCAAACATAACAATACAGACCCTGAAATTATGTGCATATGAGGATGTTCTAACATTGCAGACTGTCAAGATATAAATCATTTATACAAAACTTCCATACCTGTCTCTCAGACAGCATCTCACATTATTAGATCTGAAAGAATCTAAAACATCTATTTTAATTTTCACCATTTACATTGGGTATTTTTTGCCCCTCACTCAGCTTGGGGCGTGAAAGTAGACTGGTTAGTTTCATTTACTGGTTCTCATAAAATTTCCCAAATTGCTACTGGGTTTGGATTTTCCACCTTGCTGCAGAATGTTTAAATTAAAAGAAACTTAAAACATTTCACGAAAACATTTCTATCAACTGTAAAACACAATAGTACAAATTGGCAGGTGACACTTGCCAAGAGGGACAGCAGGGAGATTCAAATAGCAAAATCAGAACAAACAGATTCTGGAGGCCAAGCGAAGTCATGGGGATAGGAGGACTTTCCAGCTTCAATCCAGGTAGAAGGCGCCCTTATAGGATGTTACTGAGATAAAAAGCCTTTCAAAGTCCAAGGTTTTCAGACAAGAAATACGTTCCACCTGAATTCATTTTGGTGTGTAAGCCTTTTAAGGACACTTCAGACATCAGCTAGAAGGCCTCTTCTGCCTTCTCAAGATTGAATCATTTTCTTCTGTGTGTCAAAGACATATCTTTTAAAGAGAAGGTTGATAGTAACAGGCTGGGCTGAGTCAACCTTGCTGCTTTCATCCTCTTTGGCTGCATCTCCCTTCCCTGCCTTGGATTTCTTCTTGGAGGGGACAGTGAGAAACACCTTTGTATCTGACTTGAGTCCATCTGAAAAAATCAAGAACATACATGACAAAAAACTGCCTGTCAGCATTTCAATATTACAAGTGTACATCTGAAAACAATGAATACGTGAGTTCATCATTGCAATATACCTCATTTCAAGGATTTATTGGCTAAAACTAAAATTATGACAATCCTTCAAAAGTGCAGTTCAGAGTAGTTATTCCCTGCAATCCAATATAGTCTCCTGCATCCTCATTCCCAGATCCATGTTCTTTGCGAGCTCTCATACAGTTACCCCCCAAGCCATCTCCCTTCCAAAGTTCTGAGGGGATAAATAGTAATGGATTTTTAACAAATCAGATCAAATTGCCTGATCTAGGCCTTTAAAACTCCACAGACTTCCTGCATCCTGCATGGATGCTTTCCAGCAACCTCTTCTTTCTTGTGAGTGGATTTGGGGACTAGCATTTTTAAAAAATCAGTAAGAGTCACATTTAACTTTGCTCTATTTCTGAGAAGCAAAACCAACTTGTCCAAAAAAATTCATATAGAAATCTCACAAGAACGTAAGTGACAAATCAAAGATTAAAATCCTGAAAAAGTGTAGCTCCATAGGCACCAGAGGTCTTGAATACTTTTGGTCCATTACCTAGACTGGCCAAAAGAACAATGCTCAATACACCACAAGTAAAGCAGTGTTGTTTCTGGCCAAAGCACCATATATGTTAACCGGTTACAATTTTTTTTACGTGGCCAATCCTTAAGAGGATCAGAATTTGGGGGAGCACGACTGGAAGTTTAAACACTATGCTCGAAAAGGATTTAAATCTTTTGTGTTCAAACAGGAATATCTGCCCTTTTCTACCTAAACAGCAGGGGTTTTATTTACCATTTTTATGTTATTTTAACTGATCACATTGGTGACATTTCAGATAAGAGATACAAGGTAGCCAAGTCCAAATAAATGCTGCAAAACAGGGGAGATACTGCTCCTTGGAGACTGCTCTTGAAGCCTTTTCTTTCTTAAAGCAGATGACAGAGAACCTCTGAGAAGCATATTCAATGCCACCTATCTGCATACTCCAAAATGTAGCTCTCAGGCATTTGGCCAGTTTCAGTTCAGGTGTTTTTAACCTGTGGTGTCATGTAACCTTATCTCAAACACTTAATCAGCTTCTCCCACCTCATTCTGAAATTCAGAGACAGAGTCTCGTATCATGGCCTGACAAAAAGATTGAGATGCTTATGATTTACTGGAGACAGGAGGTCTACAAGCACATGTGATTTGCTCCATTATAGACACATCTAGTGGGTATTTACAGCTGATTGTGGGGACTCAGCACCAGAGCCACCTTCTCTCCTTGCTAAGTCAGATAGTAAATTGCTCTAAGAGGCATTCACAATATGCTGCAAAAGTGGAGAGGAGAGGAGAAGAGGAATCACAACAGCAAGAGAATAGGAAATAAGCAGGTCCTGCAGCAAAACCATTACACTGTCAACCATCCCCCTTCAATTCCTGTAACGGAGGTTCTGAAAACACTGCCAAATCCTTGATACACAGTGCTCTAAGGGCTAGTCTACACTACCCGCCCAGATCAGCGGGTAGAAATCGATCTCTTGGGGATCGATTTATCGCATCTCATCTAGACGGATAAATCGATTCCCGAATCGACGCGCATACTCCCACCTCATCAGGAGGAGTAAGCGCCATCGACGGGGGAGCCACGGCGGTCGATTTGCCACCGTCCTCACAGTGGGGTAAGTCGAAAAGGATAAGTCCAATTCAGCTACGCTATTTGCGTAGCTGAATTTGCGTATCTTAAATCGATTCCCCCACACCCTAGTGTAGACCTAGCCTAACAGGCAGACCACTCAAATGCTCCATGTTGGGGTGAAGTGAGGACAATCAGGTGCTCTCTCCAAACACAAAGGGACGTGGGAGTATGGGAGAAAAGGAGCACATTATATAGGTACATAAATACATAGCCTAGGGTTGGGGAAGTCAAATGTCAGGCAGCATTAACTTTGCATACTTTCTACAAGACCTCCTGAAATGTATATTAATGACCAGTACAAAAGTTTTCTTCAGATATTGGGATATAAAAAGCAACACTTATTTCATGTGAAAGTGACTAGGTTAGTTTCTCCCCAGTGGCTGAGAAGTTTAATGATAATTATCCTTGCATGTGGAAGATACAATTAATCAAGTTAGATAATATAGTAAAACCTGACCTCAAACACGTACTATATGCCTCCACTACACCGTACAATTGTTTTTGTTGTTGCCGATTTTTATAAAACCCAAACCCAAGTGCTGTCCACATAAAACCTATTTTAAAAAGTTTTTACTTGCATTACGACCACCTTTCATCATTAAAAATGAAAGAATCTAATCATTTCATAGAAAGTACCTTCTTTTACATTTGGAAAGTATCTAGCACATTTTGAATCCTGGAAACAACAGCAATAATAATAGAGATGGAAAAAAACTATTAGCTGATCCAGTGTAGCTCCCTGCCTGTGCAGGATTTGTTCCCTATTGTACATTTCCACTCTTTTGACCGATCTCATTGCAAATGTCCCTAACTTACAGGGCTTCCTGTACTTCTCCAGGGAGACTGATTACTTTTCGGACTTCACCGAGTTTAGACAAGGAAGCTATGCGGTTTAGCTTCACTTTGGTTACTAGTCAGTTTCCCTTTCTTGGTCTCATCACTAGTATTATGTTGTTGCTGCTGCTGGAACACCTGCTGCTATTAGGAAGATGTTTAAATCCAAATCAGCTCAGAAAGGCCCATTTTCATTAATTACAAAAGATCATGAAATATTTCAAGTCCTATTACTAGGTTGTGCAAGACACATTTTAATTAAAAAAAATATCTAATTTGGGGGGTTAAAACTTGACAACAGTGGCCAACATTTTCTATCTTGGGTGTCAGAAGCTAGCTACCTAATTCCATACTTGGGAACCCTTCCTTTTGGTTTATACAGAGTTTAGCACAATAATGCCCCCAATCCTGATCGGGGCCTCTGGGTGCAATCACAATATTTAACATTAAACAACCAGAATAGGGAATTGGCTTGAGTTTCAGAGGTGCGGTACAATCACCGTTCCAAACGAGCAGAGCATCCATTGCTCCCACAGAAGCCACTGAGAGCCTGGGGTGCTCAGCACCTCTGAAAGTCAGGCCACTCATACAGGCCACTGCCTAAATTTAAGCACCCACATTTGAAAATTTGGATTTCAAGTAAAAATGATGAAAAAATGAAAATGGAGCCACAGAAAGTGTAATGAACTGCGGGGCGGAGAGGGGGGACGGGGAGGGGGTTTAAAGCAACCTCCTCTCCAATCCATCCAGAAAAACTGAAAAAGAAAGAGGCAAAACTTGACCTTGTCTGCAGGCTCCACACCCATTCAGATTCAAACAAGGCATTATGTGCAAGAAGAGTTAGCAGGAGAGATGGAAGAATGTGGCAGTTCCTACAAGTGAAATCATGGGCTGCCAGCCAAATGCAGCTCAGGTATTATTAAACTTGCAAGGTATCTAAATTACTTAATCAGATCCCATGGCCCTCATTTTGCAAACAGATTAGGTGGCTGGCATCATACCCTGACAAATGGCAGTTGCTGTTTTTTTCACTCTGGTGCCAGGAGGTCTATGGCTGAAGAGGCTCTATGATACAGAGCAGTACAAAGGAGCAAGCAGAGGGAGACAGGCAGAGAGGCACAATCTAGGTTTCATCTACCTCCGTGGATTTCTCGCGTTACACACAATGCATACTTTACATTTTACAAAACCCAGGAAATGAAGGGAAATATATCTGTCACCGAAGAAGACATCAGCCCTTTAATAGCTGAAATGACGGATATTTTTAGATGAAACTCTAGTTTAACTTACTTACATTAGAGGTCTAATCTCTCCTGAACAATGACTACGTTAGCTTGAATACATAGTGAGAAATCTGTTCCATTAATTAAGTGCTGCCTGTACTAGGATTTGTAGCAAATGTTAATAGATTTTTTTCCTTCCTCTGTTGGACAATTACTTTATTTTGCCAAGTTGCTAATGGATTAAATTTAAAAGGTCTGTGTGTTAAAAAAGACTTTAGCTTCAAAGTTCTAACACGCACCTTGTCCACATTGCTGGGAAATACCTACATATTAATATTATTAATGGGCAGTCCTCAGAGGCATAGTAGATAGCTGAAAGCTTAGCAAATTCATTCCCACCCATCAACCTGCTTTCACCACTAAGTATATAACATAACTCTCCCAGCCAGACCTTATTTAAAATGTATTTATTCTGTAGACTAACCTAGGTTAGAGAAGGAAATGTGAATATACAATAGCTCCTATTATTACTCTGTTGTAAATACCATGTCAGGACTCTCATACTAACTATAGGATTCTTCTATTTTAGCAAGGACTAAAGGATTCATCCCAGATTGTATATTTCACAATTCCAGAAAATGCAAACTTTGCATGCAAATGAAAAAAAAAATCCCACCAGGAAAATTAATTTCAAAGCCTCAGAATGGCTTCAAACAGCAGAAAGATAAAGATTTTTTGGAACAATTTTATATTTTCAACAATAAAATAGGTTTTGCCCTAATTTATGTTACATTAGTTTTAGTTTATAAAACATTATTATAACCAGATTTTTACAACTGCACAGGCAAAAATTCTTGTCTAATTGCAGAAAACATGCAATCACAACAATTTGGTACACCGATAACATGCAAAGAAATCCTGGGCTTGTATTTCTTCTTCCTCTTCTCCTATCAAATACCTGATACTTAGTATCTACCCAGTTAGATCCGGCAATAATTCAAAGGCTGTGCCAAATGGAGTTTTAAGGTTCCCCTGATGCTTCATCATGATCATTTGCTTCTTCATACCTACCTGATCCCTCTAATAGGGTCTGATCCAAAGCCCAGTCACATCGATGGACCTTTTCTCATTATCTTCAATGGTCTTTGGATCAGGCCTATAGGGAAGAGATGACTTCACTGCTCCTAGCCAGTAGCTAGGATAGCAGAGG